CGACGACGACGACGACGACGACGACCTACCTGTACTCTCTCTCTCTCTCTCTCTCTCTCTCTCTCTCTTTCTCTCTTTCATTTGCTTTGAGTTCTTATTGATTCGGCGCGTACGCGCAAGCTTCCAATTCTGCGCTTGCGACGAACCCCCCCACTACCGATCAAATCGTTCAACCAATCAACGTTAACGGCGTTGCCGGCGAATTTGACTACAGAGACCTCACGCGATATTACTAAGAAATATTATTATTCATGTTAATAATCCCCAATACGTGTGTTCTTTTTCAACATTTTTTTTGTGACACGTGAACAAATAGGATGATGATGATGATGATGATGAATGTTAATAATTGATGATTAAAGTGAAATGAACTGGAAGAAAGAAAAAAGAAGAAAGAAATGAAGCAACAAAAAAAACAGGGTTGTACAACAGTCAGCTTTAGTCGCCTGATTTTTTGTACCCCTTCCTCATTTTCTCGGGCAAAACTACCCCCTTTTGTGTCGTCCGATATATTCCTCGTCAAACCTTTCTCCACCCCCCCCTACCCCTTCTTCTTTTTCTTCTTCTTCTTCTTCTACCTTTCCACGTATTCTATTCGAGGACACGGCCTACATTCCAATTACACCTACTTCTATCTATCTTTCTTTATGTATATGTGAATATGTATATGGATATGTATGTGTGTGTGTGTGTGTGTGTGTGTGTGTATATATTTCTGTAGTTAATTTTGTAGTTTTCTTTGTTTTTACCAGCCCCAATTGTTTTACTTAACTTCGTTAATTGAAATTTTGATGATCATTTGAAAGGATTGAAACTTAAGGGTGACTTTGTGTTTTTTTTTTTTTTTTACTTGGTCTTATTGTTCATTAATTTTCTACATTGTTTGCATAATAAAATATATTTATTATGTTAGAAAAGTAGAAAATTAATGAATTACTTTGATACCTTTTGTTTTTTTTTTTGTTTGAATTTGTGTTTTGTTGAATTGTTTGTTGGAAATTTTAATTTGTTTTTTATTTTTTATTACTCACAAGTTAATTCATTTGATTTACAATATGTTCAAGTTTAATTGTGTTATTATTAATATGTTTGTGTGTGTGTGTGTGTGTGTGTGTGTGTCTATTATAATTTTGTTCATTTGTTTGAAATAATTTCAAACTTTGTATTGTGGATTGTGCGATAAATAATTTCGTTTTATTTTTTGTTTTTTTTGTGCGAAAATGAAAACAATTTTTGTATCGAAATTAAACTTAGGATTTTCGAGTGAGTTTAATAAATAGTTTCATTTGATAAATTTCAACTCTTAACAAATTTGCACGTGTTGTTATTTGCCAATTTTCATTAACCAATTGCAAAATTGTGTCAAAAAAATACGAAATTATTTTCCGAACAAACTAATATATTTGTCTATATATATATATATTTGTGCATTCCTATCAGATGATTCAAATATTTTCCTATTTCACTGAACTATCGTAAAATATTTGAAATTGCATTCGGCATTTTTGTCGAGTTCATAAAAAATTATTTGATTAAATTCTACGTAGTAATAGAAGAAAAAAAAAAAGTTTCAATATACCAGTATGACTTTGTATCTAACTTTGATGACTAATTTGATCTATCATTATTTTTTTATTCTTCAATTTTGGCAACAACAGAGACGAGTTTGGACTTGTCATAAACAATTTTTTTTAATATTTCATTTAATCATTGAAATATTTTTCTATTAAAATTTCCTTCTTTTCTTTTCCTTTTGTTCTAGTACGTAAATAATAAATCATGTTCTACTATTACAAACATACGATAAAAAAAAAAACAAACCCCTAGTTGAACTTTATCTATTCAACCGAGTTACGAATCATTTCACTTCGATCCCAGTTTTTCCTAATCAATGATTTACGAGGTAAAAAAGAAAAAAGAAATCAGGGTTTGCATGTCAGGAATTTTTTTCAACCAACCACCGAACAAACTCTTCGAGACACACACACACACACACATATTATTTCTCATTCTTCACTTTTTCAAAACTTATCAATATTAATTCAAACAGACATCAATTTTTCCATCTCTTGTCAAAAGTAAAAAGAAAAGAAAAAAAAATACATTCAAAGATAAAAAAAAGGAACATTTTCACACTTTTCACGTTCGTTTATCTCTTTCCTTCACCCCAATCTCACCCCCTTGCACTTCCAGTCATTCGTCTAGATCAAAAAAAAAAAAAAAAGATGGTGCTAAAACGTTTGACACATTTGTCAAATGAACATTTTCTTTTTCCTTTGAAACGACAAGCTCCTTATCTCAACCCCCAACCCCAAATGCTCAATCCAACCCCTGCTCGTTGCACCCTCTACCAATAACTCATCCCAATTTATGTCTTTTGTTTGATATAACCCAAACATTTAACTCATACATAGATTTATCGAGCAACATTTGTTCTTTTTTTTTTTTTTTTAGATTAATGATCGATGATATTAAAACGATTAGGGGATGAACAAAATGGTTACATCGTTCGTTACATCTTCGTAATTATATTCATTTGATTTGTCTCATTTTTCATCTAACACTCCACACACATTTCCGTTCTTTCTATTTCGTACCTTTCCCTTCCCTTTTTTTTTATTTGTAATCCCTTTTGTTCTTTCGACACAAAAGATGTTGAAATGTGTGTGGATGTGTGTGCATTGGCATTGTCCGATTATATATCAACTAATACTACTTGTAGTATTACTTAGTATTATTACTACTTAGTAGGAATATTTATTTGTATAGAATCAATATTAGTTTGAATTTCTTTTTCTAATTGTAATTTTGGGGTGGGAGGGAATTAGATGAATTGATTATTGTGTAGAAAGTTGAATTTATCTAATAAAATTGTATTTGTTATTGTAAAAATCATTCAAATCATGTATTTTAAATAGGAACAAATTTGAAATAACTAAGATTGTAATTTGTTTTAATATTCAATTATTTGTAAGATTTTAATTAATATTCTAATTGAACTAAAATCAAAAATAATAAATGTAATAATACCTAGATAATGATTTTTTAATTAGGAGAATAATTAGAATAATTGTTAGTTGTAATTTAATGATAATTAATCTAATCAAATGCAAGTATCTTTAAATATCATAGATTTTAATTTATTTTAATATTAAATTATTTGCAAGATTTTAATTAATATTCTAATTGAACTAAAATCAAAAATAATAAATATAATAATCCCTAGATAATAATTTCATAATTGCAAGAACAGATATTGTTAGTATATATTTTATAATAATTAATTTAATCAAACATAGAAGCACTTCAAATATCTTAGATTTTTAATTTATTTTAATATTAAATTATTTATAGGATTTTAATAATATTCTAATACTAATTTATTTATAAAATTTTAATAATATTCTAATTAAATTAAAATATAACAAAAAAATAAAAAATAACAAATATAATAATTCCTTTCAAATAATTTCATAATTGCAAAAACAAATATTGGTTGTAATAAATTTTACAATAACCAATCAAATCAAACACAAACATCACAAATATCTCAGATTTTAAATTTATATTAATATTTAATTATTTAATAAATTTTACTAACATTCTAATTGATCCAAAAACCAATAAATTAAAACCCCCCACAACTATAATAATTCCTAAACCAATAATTTCCTAATAAAACCAATTCAACTTCAATTAACATTAATCACTTGAAGATTGCATAGAATAATAAAAGTATACAATCAAATTGGAAGATAAATAAAAAATCTCACCTGTTCGGCACGCGGTCTGATCTTTTCATCTTGTTCCTTGGAAAGGTCCTCAACAAGATCATGGAGGAGCCTAATATCCTGGGGGCTGGGGGAGTCGACCCTACCAGCCCCCACACTCATTGCACTGTGGGGCGCCAGTTCACAGGAGTCGAGTCCTTCACCCTCTTCACTTCTTTCGCTAACCCCCTCCTCCTCCTCCTCCTCCTCTTCTTCGGTATCCCTCTGTTCCTTTTTTTTAACTTCTTCCACCCAACGTGACTTACGCAAAGACAACACCTCGGCTCCTGTTATCACCCTTTCGTCGTCATCGCTCATTTAGGTCATTTAAACAACTGTTTTTTTTGTTTATATCTAAATCAATCTTATTATTATTATTATTATTATTATTATTAATTATTATCTTCTTTGTTTCTTATTTTATTTTATTATCTTCGGTTTGTATTGTATTTTTATTTTTATTTTTATTTTTATTTTTGGGGTGGGGGTGTTCTTAGTTTGGTGTTTTTTTGGTTTTTTCTGTTTAACTTGTTTAAATTCGTACGAAGAAAATGTTGCGAGGATGAGAGGAGGGTTGAATAGAGGGTTGTAATTTTAATATCGTTTAAGATTATGATTCCAATTTGTGATAATAAATGTTTGATGTAAAGTAAAGTGTATCAAATTATTTTTGTTTTAGAAAATAATTTGTATATAAATTCGTTGCTTATTCCATTTTGTTTTTTTTTTTTTTTTAGGCAGTTACTATTATATCGATTACATTAATCGATCATCATCTTCTTCTTCTTCTTTTTTATTTTTATTTTCTTTAAACTTTGTTCACTCAGTCGTTAATGAATAACCAACGTTATTCCAAAGATATTTCCTTCGTTTTATTTAATCGTTGTTGTTGTTGTTGTTGTTGTTTGTTAGACACCATCTTCTTAGTCCTCTTGTCTTTATCACCATAAAATAATTTGCAAGGATACGAACAATGACGTATCATCATCGTTTCTTCTTAATCCTCCCCAACAATTTTTATTAATTATTATTATTATTATTATTATTGTTATAGAGTCTTGTGTTTTTATATTAACGTAGAAAGAAAGAAAAAAAAAAACAACAACAATTCTTGTGTTTCACATCAACCAATAATTATTATCTTCTTCCTCTTCTTCTATTTGATAATTTTACTTTTTCTTATTTATCTTATCCACTTATTGTCGTTAATACATATTTTTTTTTGTTTTTTGTTTAAACATTAGTAGAGCAACTTTTTCTGCGATAAAAGAAACGAAAAATAACAACAAAATTTCTTTCATTAAATTCTGTTTTAATTGAACTCACGTATAAATGTAGATACAAATTAATTGAATTTAAATTGTAAATATATATATATATATATATATATATATATATAAAAGAATTGAATTTTTTTTCTCGTTTGACTAATTGATAAATAAAAAAATGAATGATATTTTTTATTTTTTTTTTTAATTTTTTTTGATTATTTTACCTTTCTATTCGTCCGTAAAGACCGGAGAGAGGTCAGACTGCGGACTAACGTTCGAGAAAGAAGCGCATTATGTTCAAGCCGAGTTTCTAATAGAAAGAGAAAGATATATATATATACACTACTTTTGTATATGAGAGAGAGAGAGAGTGGGAGAGTGAGTGAGAGAGAAAATAATACATATGAACACGCGTCAGAGTGAAAGAGAATGAAAATGGGTATAGGTTTTTATTACGACGACTACAACGACAACGACGACAACGACACAAGGACGCAACTTCATTGATCACTTTCTGACTACCACGACCTTCCAACACGTTTTATGTTAGAGAAAAAAGAAAAAAAGAAAAAAAAAAGTTACGTAGAAATGCAACAAAGAACTCTTGTCAACAACTAAAATATAAATGCAACTAATATTGTTACACCCAACTTGCACAAATTTGATTTCTTAGTTTGTTTCAAATTGAAAGAACAAAACCTAAAAAAAAAATGCAAATGCAGTTAGACGACAACTACAAGAGAAAATTGCAAAAATTTGTTTTATTTATGTTTCATTTTAAATGGAAAGAAATATATATATTTGAAAATTGTAAAATACCTACACCTAATTCTCCCACTCAAAAAAAAAAAAAAAGAAGAAATCTTTTTTGTTTGGTCAACTATAAGTGCAATTACACAACTACACACAACTTGCAACAATTTTTATTTATTTTTTGGTTTATTTTTTTATTTTGCATTGACAGAAAAATATATTTGAAAATTGTATACCAAAAATTACCCAAATTTACAAAACCCCTACCCCTAAATCCCCTTTAAAAAAAAAAAAATTGAAAGAAATATATTTGAAAATTGTACACCAAAAATAACCCAAATTTAAAATACCCCAACTTCTGATTCCTTTCACCTTCCTAAAAAAAAACCTTCTTTTTCCATTGGTCAACTATAAATGCAATTACACAACTACACACAACTTGCAACAATTTTTATTTATTTTTTGGTTTCTTCTTTATTTTGCATTGACATAAAAATATATTTGAAAATTATATACAAAAATTACCCAAATTTACAAAACCCCTATCCCTGATTCCTTCCACCTTCCCCCCCCCCAAAAAAAACCCATAATTTTCAATCGGTCAACACTTCAAATACAAAAATAACAAAACAAAATTATTATTATTATTATTAAAATAAAAATATTACGAGATTTGAGAAAAGAATGAAAACCTGCTCGTTGTTTTCCTCCAATTATTTTTTTTTCTCCTTTCTTTTTTAATTAAAACAAAACCAAAAAAAAAACACCAGCTCAAATACTAAATTATCACAGCGTATTCGCGAATCGTTCGTTAGGTTTAAAATATGCACAGCAATTAAATATACCTACTACTACTATTACTACTACTACTACTACTACAACTACAACTACAACCTCTTCTCTACTGCTACTTATTTTTGCAAAAAAAAAAAAAATAAAATAAAAAATAAAAATAATCAAAATGAAAACCTCCCAAAAAAAAAAAAAAACAAACAAACAAACGTTTACTTCTTGTTAAATCCCTAAAATATTCCCCAGATTACCCTAATTCTTTCTCCATTCTTCTCATTCTGTTCATTTATTCATTCAATTCGAAACACTTTCAAATAAAACGTCTCAAAACAACTTTACATTATCCCGTTATCATTTGTCACGTTTATTCAAAATTATTTCCTTTCTCATCCACCCAACTAACCAACAAACCAACCAAACAAACAACCAAACAAATCAAATAAAAACATAACAATATTACAAATATTAATATAAAAATGAAAAAAATAACAAAGTATTCCCGAACTGATCACCGAGTTCGTACGTTTACGAATGAACCGATTAAAAAGGATACACCAGAAAGAAACCAATCCATCCCAAATCACCCTCCCTTATATCCTACCCCTACCCAATTCTATAGATTTTCGTTTGTCACCTCCCACTAGAAAACTTTTTCCTACCACACACCTCTCATCATCACCCACACTTATATTCTAACTTTTTAAATACAAACTATTACTATATCTATATCCTCTTTTTCTACATTCGTCTTATCTATCCCTTTTTGGTTTTATCCCTCGTATCAACCTCCCCTCCCCCAGCCTCCCCCTCCTACCCCCTACTCCCTCCCCAACTCCACCCTACCTCAATCTCCCTGGAATTCCTGTAGTCCTGGTTTTACTGGGGAATGCCTTCTAGGTCAGGAAATGTTTTGGCAGGTGGCCCGTTTCACGATGGGACATCACACAGACCACACGTTTACTAAATCAGTGTGAGAGAGATAGAGATAGTTAACCATTGATTTTGTCGATAAAAGGAAAATGGACTCTCGGTGCTGATACGTTTGGCACAAGTTGGACCAACCCGGTATCTCTAATCCACCACTCTCATCCCTTTTACTCATCCTCTTCCTGTTCCTGTTACTTTTTCTTATTCTTATTCTTATTCTTAGACGATTATAGTTCTAAAGCCAAAAAATGTATCATATATATATATATATATAGGTTTCGTTACATTAACGAACAAAACTATGATGGTCGAGTGATATGAGAATAATGGATGATAATAATAATAATAATAATAATAATAATAATAATAATGTCGATTAAAGTGAAGTACTAGCAATGTTGGGTGATATCTGGTAATATTTTGTTGCATTTCTTTTTTTGTTTAGTCAATGGAAAGATGAATATAAATGGAAATATGGTATTATGGTTTTATTATAATGGAGTAATTATTTTTTTTTTTTATTTAAGAAAGAATATATATATATATATAAGTTAGTTTGAAGTATACCAATTATGTTTTATTTCAAATGCATTTAATAATTTTATTTTAAGAAATTAGATTTTGTTGAAAATATGAAAAATTTAAGATAATAATATTTATTTATTTATTTATTTATTTATTTTAATTATACAAACGTACGAAATTTTTATCTTATTTTATTTGATAAAATTAACAATTTGTATTTTGTTATTTTATTTATTTTTAATATTTAATTAAACAAATTTTTCCCTTTTTTAAAAAAAACGTAAAATAAAAGAAATAAAAAAAAAAAAATAATAGAAAATGATAGAAAAGTAATAAACGTATTGATAATAATAATAATAATAAAAAAAAGACAAACAAACAAACAAACATAAGAAAATTAATAAATATAAAATCAAATAAATATTTTCTATTTTGCATTTTCTATTTGATTTAACTGTGTTCAATTAAATACAAATTTTAAACACATTTATTCAAATATTTGTAAGTCACTATATATATCTATATATATATATGTATAAATTTAAAAATTGTTTTTTTTTTCTCACGCGATAAGATAAAAACAAACGTGATATAATTTTCTAACTTTAAGTTGAATCCTCGTAAATCTATCAATCCGCCATTTTATTTATCTCGTTAAATTTCATTGCGCACACGCATATATTCGTGCAATGGTATATTACACCGACAAACTCACTCTGACATATCCGTATGCGTGTAGACACACTCTAACTTAAACACATAAATCGTCTACGCACTCCTTCATACACATACACACACATATATATAGATATATATGTATATAAACGATAACACACACACGTTCTCGAGAACACGTGGATCAAAATTCGAAAAGAATCGAATTTCTCAACAAAAAGTTCAAAATAAATATTCCCATTTTTTTTTTTAAATAATTAAATAATTATTATTATTATTATTATTATTATTATTATATCTTTTAAAACTACATACTTTATTTTTCAAATATAATTAAATAATTCAAATAAAATTCTAACAAATGCAATGAACCATTTTTAAAAATTAAAATATTAAAAATTATAAAATTAATAATATAAAAAAAAAAGATAGAAAAATATAAATAATATTTAAAATAAATTAATAAAAACGAGTATAAGAAAATTTATTAAGGGCGAGGTTAAAATTTGCAACCCTTCCACTCCCAAATCCAGTGTTCCATTTGTTCCTTCAAAATGACGTTGCACAAAAACTTAGAATTAACGAACCACGTTTCTCTCTCTCTCTCTCTCTCTTTCTCTCTTTCTCATTCTCATTCTCATTCTCTTTTTCTCTTTCTCTCATTCGCAAACAAGCACACACATCGCATTAAAAGTCTTTGTAACAACGGGGGTAGCACTTTAACGCTTATTTGCCAAGAAGGGCTTCATTTTCTCGCGCGTTGTCCATTGGGGCTGACCACGATTCGATTACTTCGCGCTTCTTTATCCCTTTTCTATACTACCCCCTAAACGTTAAGAGAAAATAATTAAAAAAAAAAAAATAAAAATGGAGGGAGATTCGAATGCAGCAACGTTGATTTATTTTTGATTTGCATATTATTTTTATTATTTTTCAACTACAACGAATCAATGCAATTGATATTAAGGGATGAAATAATATTACCTGAAGGGTTACAAAAAAAAAAAAAA